GTGCCCTGCTCGGTCCTGCTCCTCCGTGGCGATGACGGCGTGCGGTTAAAACAAATCATAACAAACGAATTTGAAAGTGGGGGGGACACAAACGTGATTTTGAAAAGTGGGGGGGACATGTCCCCCCTGTCCCCAGTGGAAATTACGCCCCTGGTCTTCACCCATAATGTATTGAGGGCAGGGAGGCACACGATCAAAGCTGCTTGTTTGTCATTATACTTTCTAAAAACTTTTTTTACTCTACAGCACAGACAACACCAAATAAGAGACAGAATGATATACAGAGTGCTTGCTGAAGACACAGAAGCTTTGTTCTGGGTGTCTTTTATAGCTTCCGTGGTACGCTGTCACGGTCACGGGGTGACGCAGCACCAATCAGCATTGGAATCAGGATTAGTTGCACTTGTGCATCAGACGCAATCATGCTTCATCATTGGAGGCAGCATTAAGTTCCTTGAAAGGGAGCCCCTCTAAAGATATAACAGAATTTTACGGTTGTATCCTTATCTAAAAAAAATGTTTAAAACTATTTTCATTTTGCTTTCAGGCTAATCCTGACCAAAGCGAGTCTCCATTAAACTTCACAGACTTCACTGAGTGAACGCTGGTGAGAACATGTGCATCAGAAAGAAGCGCAATAAACTAATAAATACAAATATTTATTGTTGGACATTAAATGTAGCTTTAAAATTCTACAGTCACCGTTTTGGTTGCAATTTCCCGGAACTAAAAGCCCATGTTGCTTCTCAGCCTGTCACTGGACTCATCAAAGCAAACGTCTATAACAGTACTGTCTTTCCTCATCCATTTGTCCTGTTGTCAGAATCCGTTGGGACATTTTGGGACATTTTTCAAGAAGTTATTAGAGTAACAGAAAGAAAGGACGATCGCGTGGCTGGATTAATGTTGGGACAGTAAAGGGAACAGTGCTGTGTGTGCAGTCATCCTCCGAATCCATACTTTGGTGACATAATGTTGCTTAGACTGTTAGACTGCTAGTATAGTCAGCTGTGATAGTTCGGCTGTGTCTGTCTTTTCTGTTCCCTACAGATGAATACTTCAGGATCTGTCTGGTGGGCTCTGCTCTCAGTGGGTTTAGTGAAGAGGATCCTGACCTGCACCCTCAACACCGCAGCGGCTTCCGACCTACCGCTAATGACCGGATACTTCGCCCACTTAATGACAACGGACGCATCACACCTCAGATTCATCAAATCCCAGGGAATGGTAATGGATTTAAACCACAACGACCTGTTGTCGGTGAGCAAATCCTTATGACCTGATGAGTTTTTGTTTTGTTTGCAGTTCGTATGAATGAGACTGTGAACAGGTGTCGTCTGTTTCCTAATCTGTGTCTGAATGGACGCTGTGTACCCTTGGGGTCTGACTACCGCTGTGACTGTAACACCGGATACAGAGAGGACAACAGAGGAGAGTGTTCAGGTCATTTCACCTCAACATTACAGGCTATCTGTCTACCAAAAGAATAACAAATGACCCAGAATTTGACCTGACATCTCAAAAGGCATATTAGAAAATGAACCCACAGAAACCTGCCTAAAGCAATGACTTTCACTGATTGCTGTGAGTGTTGTGTGTTTTGTGTGCAGATGTAGATGAGTGTGCGTTTGAGCCCTGCACTAATGGAAACTGTATCAACACTGCTGGTTCCTACTACTGCAGATGCCACTCAGGCTTTCTCAGGTTTCCAGGCAAACAGGCCTGCATTGGTGAGAATGAACCCACAATTCACACTGGTGTATATTTTAGTTTTGTCAGTAGTGTCTTATAAAAATATATGAAGAAATTAAATAGCACCATTTTGTTTTGTTTTCTTTTTAAATTTCAAATGTATATTTTAGAATGATTTGTAAAACATAAACATAAATGTCAAATTTTTTTTTTTATGTGAAAAACATTCCTAAGTGGCTAAAATTAGAATAAAGTGGACAGGTTAGTAGAAACACATGAAAATTAGTAGAACAGCGTCATTTCAACTGTGATAAGACTTTACATTTTTATGCACACCTCTATGAAGCATCTATAGAAGCATGCAAGTCCTCCACAGTTTTGCAACTCCTGCTTCTGAGACTTTAAAGAGATGCGTACGCCTGTCACTGCAGTGATCACTCTAGCGATGCTCCATCACAGGCCCCCGTAGACATTGAGACGTGGCATTCCCCATATAGTGAATGTCATAGAATCCACTACAAGAGAAAAGAGCACATGAAAATGAGTGAAAGAGTTGGTAATGGGTGTAAATATTGTGTGCCAGAAAGGGCTGTGAAGCTGTCGCAGAAACGCCATGCACAATTGAATTCAACAAAACTCTTTACAGTGTTGCATGTTTTTCATTGCAGGGTATTATGGGACTGAATGAGCACATAATCTCCATAATGGTTTTGTTAATATTTTTTGGTGAATAGTTTGGCTAGAATATGGTGAAGCTGTATTCTCTACTGTGATATTGTTTTGTAGATGTTGACGAATGTCTTCAGAATGGGGTGCTGTGTAAGAATGGCCGCTGTCTCAACACAGAAGGCAGTTTTCAGTGCATCTGTAATGCAGGATTCAAGCTCACACCTGATGGGAGAAACTGCATAGGTAAGACATTATCCAGAAGACGGTTGACCTTTATCAATTCATAGCAGTTACCTGTATTTTACACACACATACAAAATACTTTTTGCAATAATCCAGTAATTACATTAGGATCAAATTAACATAATGTGAATAACATCTCAGGGTGGGCAGTTATAAAGAACTGTGATGTGAAGACCTTGAAGAGGGTGATTTCTCGATGATCTGCATTAGTTCCTACAGTAAGAATGTATGATTACAAGAGTTTCCTTCATTCTCAATCAGATCACGATGAATGTGCCAGCACAAACATGTGTCTTAACGGCATGTGCATTAATGAAGACGGCAGCTTTAAATGTGTGTGTAAACCTGGATTCACCCTCAACTCCAGCGGACGCTACTGTACAGGTGAACTCTCTTTCCCCTCTTCTAAAGATGACATCTCTTTAAAAATTACATCTGTTGGAAGTTATAAGATATGCATGATGCTTGAAGTAGAATATTTGTGATCAGAGTCAGGTGTTGTGTTGTGTTGTGTGTGTGTGTGTGTGTGTGTGTTTCTCACACAGATATGGATGAGTGCCGGAGGCCAGGTGTGTGTATGAACGGACGGTGTGTAAACTCACAGGGCTCTTTCAGTTGTGAGTGTTTTGCAGGTCTTACCGTAGGAATAGATGGGCGCACATGTGTAGGTAAGAGCACACTTGCATGCACAATCATGTATTTGTACACTTATGCCCTGATTTATTAAATTCCCAAATAAAGTGTACTGGTTTGCTTGAGCGGGCAGTCTGTCTATAAGACTGCATGTGCTCTTGGTGGAACAATATGCTAATTCACTAGGAATAATCATGCAAACAGCTCCACGTGCATGTTAAGTTGAACACACCCTGGAAAAGTATCAGGTTATCTGCGGGTCCTTAAAAAGTCTTACATTTAGTTTGATCAAATTAAGGCCATAAAAAGTCTTAAATGATACAAGAAAGTCTTAATTGTCATTTCAAGAGGTCCTAAATTTGGGGACGGAAAGACCAGTATTGCGATATGGCTGAATGTGACGATTAAACTTCAAAAGGCCATGGTTTCATTGAATAAATATGAGTGCTGCACATTTCAAAGTCAGCTGCTGTGCTGTACAGCCATTACCATGGAAACTGCTATATTTCTGCCGTTACGACAGCTCCATCTGCTGGCAGAGGATGAATGTGCATTTTTAGTAAGCCCTTCTGCTGTTTTTGTTCAGACCACTGCGAAAATCCACCCATATTTTCATGCAGCAAACACTGAATCAACTGGTGAACCGGTGGATCAACAAGAAACTAATGCATTATAAAAATCTAAACAATTAAGACACTAACATATATTTATATATTATTAAATTAATACAATATTATTGATAATTTTTTTAATTAATGTGATAATTGATACTTTTGACTCTTATAAAAGTTTTTGTTTTTGTGAAAACCTGTATCTGAACTGTAAATCATGCTTTGTTTTTACAGTCATTTTATGGTTTAATGTGTTACCATAGACATTTCCCTACCCTGCTTATATGGTTTTAATTTTATTAAAAAGGTCTTAAATTTGATTTAATAAATCCTGCAGATATACTGAAGGAGTCTTATTTGTGAGCTAATTGTAGCAAATGTTCCAAAACAAATCACTTGCATTTCTCACTAATTACCAGTTAATCAATAATGCCATTGTCACACACTTGAAAGGCGCACAAAGACGAAGGTAAACAAGTAACATTTAATAGTAATCCAAGATGATGAAGATTCATACAAAACACAGGGTAACACAAGCAGCATACACAACTAATAGCGGGCCAAAACGGGGAGTACTTATACAAAAGCAAGAGAGGGACTAATGTCTAAATTAACAGGACACAGGTGAACTGAATGAACTAATCAAGAGAACTAAGGAAAACTAGGCCAAACTCAAAATGGGCATGAAGACAAAAACTAAATGAAAACACAAGAAGTCCATAACTGTGACAGCCATGAATAGTTGTTATTTTAAGTCAAATAGAATACAATCTACAGTAAATCAAATCAATATCTGATGTGACCACCTTTAAAACAGCTTTTTCCCAGGAATACTCTTGCGCACAGTTTTTGAGGTAGTTTGCTCCAGAATCTTTAGTCTCAGTCTCTTCATACAGTCCCAGATGATGATGAGATCAGTTGTTCTGTTGCATGACTCCTTGTTCATACTCAAATCTATCTGGATTATTACAAAATTTGCATTAATGCAAATAAGGAATATTTGGAAGTTTAAAACTGACGTTTGCTACTGACACACTAAAGCAAAACATAGAAATAATGGTCTTAAAGGGGTCATATGATGCGATTTAAATTTTTCCTCTCTCTTTGGAGTGTTACAAACATTGATTTTAGTGCAGCACAGTATTTATTGCTAATATTTCATGTTATTACTGTATAATAGATATTTTACTAGATCTCAGTTCGTTGCCAGTTCGTTTATCTTTTTAAATGTATACTTTCATATGATTTATATTTTTTTGTGTTTATCCTGTCCTTACTTTATGTATTTTTTATCTGACACCAAATCTTGGATTTGATTAGAACAATAAGAAAACTTACTTCAATAGAACTAGAAAAACATTATATGATAAGCAGCAACATTTACCTCAAAAAGGTGTAACACACCTCACAATAATTTCTGCACAGGTTTACTCTCTACTCTTTAAAGGTTTAGATTTTTGAAGGTTTGTAATTTGCCTTTGTGGACCACGGACAGTGGTTTTTGGGTTTCTGTAGCAGTGTGGTATAGTTTTGACTATATTCCTCACATATTTCTGTTGCAGACACACACATGCACAGCACCTGTTTTGGGGTTGTAAAAAGAGGCCTGTGTGTGCGGCCCTTTCAGCGATCTCTCACCAAGTCACAGTGCTGCTGTGCCAACCCTGACTATGGCTTTGGTCAACCGTGCCGTCCCTGCCCTGGCAAAAACTCAGGTACACTCTGCTCATTACCATGCTGTTTGATGTTTATATTTTTAAAATAAACTTGCATAACTGTACTTAATCTAAAATATGTGTAACACTTTACATCTGTATGTGAAGTGCTGCTTAAAAGGTTCCTTCAGAATTTGAGGTGATTAAAAGCCTGTTTTTGATATCTGTTTGCTACAGTATGGTGGTGTCTGATCATGTTGAGTATGGCTCGGGCTTGCAGCTTGTTTCTTTACATTTCACAAGTGAGAAGACATTGGTTAGAAATGGTGAAAGATTGATGTGTTAATCAGTGTTGGGAGTAACGCATTACAAAAGTAATAATATTACAGTAGTATATTACTTTTTGCTGTAACGCAGTAATATAACGCATTACTAATACAATTTGGGTAATATTATTACTCGTTACAATGTCAGTAACGCAAGTTACAACAACATATTTTAACTCAAAATTAAGTGGTGAATTTACCAACACAGCAAAACAGCACCAGAGAAAAAATTCCACGGGTAAAATAGTTTGTCTATCTTCTGTTGCTGGAATTAGATGCTTGAGATGACTGCAGAGACGGATTCTACATTTGTGAGATGGACACACTCCTGTTAATAATGTATTACATTTTGGAAGTAACTTGCCCAACTCTGGTGTTAATGTCCAGGGTAGATATGACACTGTGCTGAGTGCATGTGTTGAGGAATATGGGAATCACCACGCTGCAGTTTACAGCAAACTAAACCTAATTCTTCCCTTCTGGCTTTTGATTTGAATGCACTGTTGCTCTTATTGAGAAAGTTTTGGGAGCAGAACCAAACCAAAATTAAGAACAAATGGAAATGAACTGCTGCTAAAACCAGCTCTGCTTAATTAAAGCATCCATAAACAAATTAATATAATTAATGAATGGGTGTGTCTTCTATCATCGGTGAAGTGCACATCAAACATGTCTCTTTTACCTGAATATTTAATGAAGATTATGATCCACTGTTCCTGCCATTTATCTTGTAGCTGCTTTTATTCTAACAGTATACATTTGAGTTGTCCTCATACACTCATTGAGGTTCTCAGTGGAGTGCAGTTTATTCAAATGATCCCTTCATCAGTGCTAGTCTGATTAAACTAAATCTGTAAATTATGCTATAATTTCACACAGATATGAGGTTTTGTACACTGCTGCCATGTGCTGTTCTCTCGCTATTCTAGTTGAGTTTCAGGCCTTGTGTGCGAGCGGTGTTGGATTTTCTGCTGATGGCAAAGGTAAGTCTGATATCATGCTTCGTGTTTTATCCTGCAGATAGTGATATGCTAAAGGCTGGAACACATTAAATGATTTTGACACTGATTTGCAGTCCGCATGAATATATACAATCAGCTAGTTGCCAAGGCAGCATTGCTTATTTTCATTTCATTTATTTATGTAGCACATTTCATACACAATCGTAATTCAAAGTGCTTTATATTTTAAAATAATCATAACATAAATGCATTAGAAATACAAATAGCATGCATAAGAAATAAGAATCACAATAAAAGCAAATAATAAAAAATTAAAATGATTTAAAATGTATTAAAACATTGAAGAAGAAAAGGAAAGGATGCATAAATAAAAAGCAGTGCAATCAGTTTGGACTGTGCTCATTCAGTAAATGTACAGCTAAACAGATGAGTTTTGAGTCTAGATTTAAATATGGCTACTGATTTAGCACATCTGATCTCGTCTGGAAGCTGGTTCTAGCTGCGGGTGGCATGATAGCTGAAAGCAGACTCCCCTTATTTTGAGTGAAACCTTGGTATTTCTAACGGACTTGATCCTAATGATCTGAGTCCTCTGTTAGGCTCATATTCAGTGAGCATATCCGCAATGTATTGAGGTCCTAGGCCATTGAGTTATTTATAAATGAGTAATAGCAGTTTAAAATAAATGAAAGAGCGTGGTCCAAACATGCAGGGTCAAACACCAGCAAACAATAATGGCCAAGGGCAAGACAAACGAGTAATCCAGATAACAGGCACTGGTCAGGGCAGGTGGCATATGATCAAAAACCAGGCAAACAGTCCAAAGTAAAAAAACACAGGCAAGGCAAGGAACAAAGCAAGGCAAGGTGAAACAGGGATAAATGATCAGTAATGTCCGAAGTCAAGTCAAGTCAAGTCAAGTCACCTTTATTTATATAGCGCTTTTAACAATACAGATTGTGTCAAAGCAACTGAACAGCATTAATTAGGAAAATAGTGTGTCAATAATCTTTGCAATCATGTCAACGATATCGCTGGAAATGAAGTGTCCCCAACTAAGCAAGCCAGAAGCGACAGCGGCAATTAATCAGATTAAGTTGATAGATAATATCAGAAGTATGGTGGGAATTAAGTTATATTTGATCACTTTAAACAACAGAGAGTAATAGAGATTTAGAAGAAAAACAGAGCTACACGAAGCTACAATCACAAACCAGCAGCACTGCAAACAGGAAGCAGGAATAATACTGTCCAACAGCGACACCCGCAGGTCAGGAATGCAAGTCTAGGTAGGAAGTAGCAAAACAAGACTCCGCAAAGTGTGTGTGTGCAGTTATATAGTCCCACGTATTGGTAACAGGTGTGACAGTAATCAGTTCCTAAAGCAGGGATTGTGGGAAATGGAGTCTGGCAGGATACGGAGATAGAGACCTCTGGTGGTGAGCGGGAGGAATGACAGGGAATGGATTCATAACAGAACCCCCCCTCTCGAAGGAGCAGCTTCCAGATGCTCCACAAACACAGTCCAGAAGGGTGGTGGAGTGGAGGTGGAGGTGGATGGAGGGCCAGGTCCATGTGGAGGTGGAGGACCTGGAGACTGAGGCAGAGTCGGCAGAACAGGAAGCCAGGGCAGAGCCAGCAAAGCAGAAGACCATCAGAGCAGAGCCGGCAAAGCAGAAGACCATCAGAGCGGAGCCGGCAAAGCAGAAGACCATCAGGGCAGAGCCGGCAAGGCATGTCTTCAAATGAAACATTCACAATGACCGGGAACACAGGAGTGGCATCCATGATGGCTGAAGACTGTAGAATGACATCCATGATGACTGGAATCTCTGGGCTGGCGGCCATGATGAAAATAAACTCTGGAGTGGCGGCCATGTCGTGACAAGGCTCTGGAGTGGCGGCCATTTCATGACGAGACTATGGAATGTCAGTCATGATGGGACGAGTCTCTGGAGTGGCATCCGCAACATGAAGATGCTCTGGTGTGGCAGCCATTGGGCTTGGGAGTGCTGAGAGTATCGGGCTTGAGATAACCAGACTAGTAATACAAGATGGGCCAAGTTGCACAGCCGCCGGAGTTTGAGAGTATTGGCCCCCACTCAAAAAATTCTTTAGAATTTAGGTTTTAGAGTCCTCCATTTATCCCACAGTGAACGGGGAACCAATTAACAAAAGTGCATAATCCAAAAATTCACAGAGCGACCCTCGAGGACCATCTCAAATGAGTTTTGATTTTAACGGTTCATTCAGTTCAAAACAGAAAAAAAATCAATGACAGCAAAGTCCGGGAGATTAGAGTGATTTGAAATGTCTAGAAAGTCCTTGATGTGGTCTCGAGGGAACACATTCATCACTTCAGTTTTCTCTTTGTTTAACTGATGAAAGTTTCGGCACATCAAGCTGTTAATTTCATCAAAGCATTGGCAGAGCGAGTCAATAGGGCTGAAGTCATTAGCTGATAAAGGCTAGGTAAATCTGGGCATCGTCTCAATAAAATTAAAACAAAAAAACTATAGACAAATTAAATGGCAATTACTAAATAATTAATTGAAATTAAAACCAAAATAAAAAATTCAAAATATTAATAAAAACTACAATAGTATCTCAGTGTACTGCAAATAGCACTGCCATCCAGTCAAAGCAATGAGGCATGTTTCTTCTTGAGTTTGTTGAGTTTGGAATGACTTGAAAGTCTGTGTGTGTGATCCTCTGTTAGCAAGTGTTAAATCTGTTCAGAATTTAAAGGCCATGTAGTGTATTCCAGCCTTATTACAAAATTACACAAATGAATCTGTTTTGTTCATTCAAATTGCAATGCTGCATTCAGTATGTTGTCATAACATCATGTAACACTGTATGTTCACTACAGGTCAAGTCACGTGACCTTTATTTGTATAGCGCTTTATACAATACTGATTGTGTCAAAGCAGCTTTACAGAGTCAAACAGGAATAGTTTGTCAATAATGCAAGAAGACAATAACAGAGTCATGTTCCAGATAAAGTCAGTTAATTGATTATTCAGTGATGTCATCATCCAGTTCAACTCTCCTCCAATACAGGACAGACTCTATTTCTCACATTATGAAAATGTATTTTTCCCTTAAGCAGGTTTTAATCTTTATAACAGTTTGTATTTTCTTGTGAGACAGACATTAATGAGTGTGCTCTGGATCCTGATATCTGCTCTAATGGAGTGTGTGAGAATCTCAGAGGAAGTTTCCGCTGCATCTGTAACAGTGGCTATGAAAGTGACCAGACTGGCAGAAACTGTCTGGGTCAGTTGACCTGTAATATGCACGGATGAGTATCAGACTACTAACAACCTCTCTGAGCTGTGACAGTTCAGTGTGTGTGCAGAAGACATTCTTGTGTTAATACAGTGTATTGCTTGTAATTGAATGTCCATGAGGTACATATTTGACTGGTAAATATGTGTTGTTGTTGTTTTTTAATTTGTAATTTTTTTTCTGAAAGAACACTGCAGTACATTGTGTAAAAAAAATACAAATAATCCATGGATTTTTAGATGTATGATGTGGAAGTATATAAGTCAGATATTATCTGATGTTTTTCATGACCCAGCATCCTCTCTGTTTACAGATATCGATGAATGTGTAGTAAACAGTCTTCTCTGTGATAACGGCCTGTGCCAGAATGTTCCTGGCAGCTACAGCTGCACCTGCCCGGCTGGATACACCTTGAGACACGACACAGAGACGTGTGACGGTCAGTTACATCTAGGGATATGCCGGTATCAAATTTTCATGTTGCGATTAATTGCTAATGCTTTTATCACGGTATACGGTATTATCACAATATTGAAATTTAGTTTAAAAAAAAGTGCTGTCATAATACAGTATAACAAGTTTAATAACTTTTTTCTTATAACAAAAATAACTGAACATTTAAATGCAATAAAGCAATACAGAAAAATGTATAAAGTTAAAAGTTTTACACAGATTAAAGTGCAAAAGAACTATAAAGACCAATAGGTATCACTTTACAATAAGACCTCATTAGTTAACCTTAGTTAATGCATTAACATTCACAATGAGCAATAGCTACATTTGCTACAGAAGTTATTAATCTTTGTTAAAAAAAATACAAGTCTTTGTTCATGTTAGCTCATTAAATAACACAGCTGCAACTCTCGATTTTAACAACGAGTGCGCACGCATCTTTCATGCAGCATACGGCGGTGTTGTGCATTTTGACCAGTTGATAGGAAAAGTATTCTTAAAATGCATTAAAAATTCTGAATAATTTGTAATATATAATTATTCACGGTATTTAGAAGTGCCCACGATAACAATATCGTGCATATTCATTACCGTGATATATCGCATTACCGAATACCGGCACAAGTCTAGTTACATCCATGGGCGTCAGAACCATTGTATGTGGGTGCTGTAACAGTCACAAACCTGTTAGCATGTTTTTTATATTGTAATTGTACTACCCACCATGAGGGGGCAACATGGAGCTATACTCTTAGATATAAAATGGGTGTAGGGAGTAGAAGAAGTCAGATTCGTAATGGAGGGAAGTAAGCATGGCTTATGGCTCCAAATAATCACTTGTCCTGATTGAGAAACCTTGAGTTTTATGCTCAATCTGAAGTAAGCATTGTTTCTTGTTTTGTATTGATTGAATGCTTTTGGGTAATTTGTGTAGTTATTTTTCTAATGTGATTTATTTCATTTTATTTAGAAGGACTCCACATTCTGTGGGATTTATCCTTATATTCATATGCCTGTTTTTGACCTGCATCATAAGGATGACTTTAAAGTGGGTTTTGAGGCTGTGAATTAGGTTGGCAACTGTTGTGGATTCTTGAACCGGGTTATGCCACAAATGTGACTTTAAAGACTTGTTCAGTGTTTGGAGTGATATCTACACCATGGATTACGTGTTGCACTGGGGACATTTTTGGATGGTATTCTTGGACATTGGATTTCATGGACATTGATTTCTACACTGTGTGGAATGAACATTCAGCAACTGTATCATTTTCGTCATCACATCAGAACAGATAAGATTTTGACTTGTATGCTGTCCTGAGTTTATGTTGTCGAAATATGCATGTTTGTTGTATTAAGGGGTTTGGAAAGATAAAAAGAGGTAAATGAATGAGAAGCATTTATTTATTGTTTTATATATAGATTTGACAGGTTTTGGTCATTGCCTGCTATATATACAGTAGAGCTAGTTTGCCTTATTGATGTCTTCTGTTGTGCCTTAGATCAAATCTAGTTAGGGGTTCCCTCCCTATAAAACAGATTTATAACCAACACTTTTTTAAGAGTAAGGTAACGGTTATAGTGCAACCACTTTTTAAGACCAATGCAACTGGACCCACCCCACACCCACTTTTACCGTCATTCAGTGCATATGTCTGTTCACTTTTCAGAGCACGGTCAGTAAAATCCATTCCACTTGAGGAATGCCATTATAAATTAAACTCCATTCCGTGTTTTAGCTACAGCCTTGACTTCCACACTGCTGCTTCCTCAAATCCATTCCACCTGACTCATTCAGAGTCCATATAAATTAAACTCCATTCCGTGTTTTAGCTACAGCCTTGACTTCCACACTGCTGCTTCCTCAAATCCATTCCACCTGACTCATTCAGAGTCCATATAAATTAAACTCCATTCCGTGTTTTAGCTACAGCCTTGACTTCCACACTGCTGCTTCCTCAAATCCATTCCACCTGACTCATTCAGAGTCCATATAAATTAAACTCCATTCCGTGTTTTAGCTACAGCCTTGACTTCCACACTGCTGCTTCCTCAAATCCATTCCACCTGACTCATTCAGAGTCCATATAAATTAAACTCCATTCCGTGTTTTCAGTACTGGCGCCTGCTGCACTCCCGCAACACAGCAAGATAAAGCATCTTAGCATCTCTGCCGCTCAGGTGGGTCAGGCTGTGTGCTCACATACTGTCACTAAACAAGCTGCTATTTAACTGAATGTTCATCATTTGTCCACCTGTTGCTTTTAAAGGCATCATGTATTCTTTGTTGCAGCATTGAATTACAGTTACACTATGTTTGTCATGGGTGCTGGTGCAATACAAAGCACTCAACGAAAAAGAATAATCCAATAAGGACTTTACTGATAATTCTGAAGAGGGGTACATCCAAACACAAGCATAACAACATCAAACATCATAGACAAAACAATAACCGTCCAGGACTGAACCGAAACGGGGAGTACTTATGCAAAAGCAAGAGAGGGACTAATGACTTAATTAACAGGACACAGGTGAACTGAATGAACTAATCAAGGGAACTAAGGAAAACTTGGTCAAGAAACAAAACTAAACAGGAGAACAGGAAATGAAACAAAAGTCCATAATCGTGACAATGTTGTTATAACGCTAACATGTTCCACAACATGTTTTCTGGGGGAGGACCCACCCACATTTTTTTTGCCCATGGTTACAACTGACTCTTAAATGTCACTTCAGCTCCCTTTGTTCCTTCAGCATCTATGTATATGGAAAAGTGTTGTAAATTCCAGAAGCAGGTGTTTACAGTATTCCACCCGAAAGGAGACAGGCCTTACATGGCCTAATATGTCTGCTGAAGTACATCACTACAGTGTTTTGTAAAAAATGTTTTAATTTTATTGAAAGAAGTCTCTTCAGCTACAATTATTTGATCAAAAATACAGTAAAAGCAGTAATATTGTGAAATATTATTACAATTTAAAATAGCTATTTTCTATGTCAGTGGTTCCCAAACGTTTTACTGTCACGTTCCCCCCAGGGATTTAACATCATTCGGCATAACCCCTCTCTCACAACTTGTGGTCTTGAAAAATGTTTAAAACGTGCAATTTTAAACACATTTCCCAGGTAGCCAAAACAGTTTGGCCCGATAATGGCCCAGATCCGATTGCGCTGGCTACCTGGGTTACCTTCAGAAAATAACTATCTTTTATCAAACACAGCATTAGTATACAAGCAATCATATGTTTTTTAAATAAATGACTCACCGTTTAATGATATGGATGTGCTGGAAATGACATGCATAATTCTGCGATGTTTGGTTGTATCAGAGAAAGTCTTAAATCATTCTCTATGCAGAGTCTGTGTCGATATTTGGGTTTTCAGCACTTACCAGCATAAAGAACATTCTTCGCACAGGTACGCTGTTGAGAAGGGCAGTAATGTTTTCAAAGCACGATCTGCTAAGGCAGGATACTCGACTGCACGCAAGGCTATCCATAAATCTGGCAGTGATTTTTGTGTAAAGTCCATTTTCAACTGCCAGTACTTGCATTTCTTTGCACTGATTGAAAAAAAAGAGAGATCAGTGGTGTCAAACTCAATTCCTGGAGGGCTACAGCTCTGCAGAGTTTAGCTCCAACCAGCTCCAACACCTGCTTGGAAGTTTCTAGTAATCCTGAAGACCTTGATTAGCTGGATCAGGTGTGCTTGATTATGGTTGGAAAGCACGATCTGCTAAGGCAGGATACTCGACTGCACGCAAGGCTATCCATAAATCTGGCAGTGATTTTTGTGTAAAGTCCATTTTCAAAGCGCCACTCATAGAGATTTCAATGAGACTCTCTCGCTCAGAAACAGGCAGGTGTGCAGAGAATGGATGGCGAATCCAGGTGTTTGCATTGTCCGACTCGGGGAAAATACCTGTGCAATTGTGCAGACAGCTCAGATAGGTGTATATTGAGATGGACAGAATGAAACACCTATCTGAGCTGTCTGCACAATTGCACAGGTATTTTCCCGAGTCTGACAATGCAAATACCTGGATTCGCCATCCATTCTCTGCACACCTGCCTGTTTCTGTTAACGAGCAAGGACCACACCACAATAGGGATAGGATGATGGTCAGGTTGATCTGGGCATCTGGAATTGATGGCCCGGAGAGACTCAGGATGGGGGTATCATCTCGTTTGTATATTTAGGCCAGACGATTAGGACACCCTAAGTTGGGAAGAGCTGAGGTAAGCTTGGGCTTGATGGAGAACTTGATATTGGTGCGGATGTAGGCGTGGTATTCTCGAGATGACCAGCAGTCAAGGGTTCTGATTGGAGATTCCACATCTGGTTGCTGATGTTGCTGAATCTTGTGGCCAGTTTCCGGTTTCTGTAAGGAAGAGCGGATCTTTAGGAAGTGCTTGGCCTGCATGTAAAGAGCTGACATATTCGGAAATTGATCCGAAAGAACTCAGGAGGAGTATGGACAGAAGATGTAGATAGGAAATGATGTTCCTAAATGGTCAGTTTGCTTCTTCGAAGGGTGAAGATAAGAGTATCTGAGGAGTGGATAGTAATCTCCAAAATACAGGAGTGGATAGAAGGATTGAATGTAGAGGAGTCAGAGCGAGATCTGAGCATTGTAGGAAGCCGAAGAATGCTAGCGAGAACATGAAGTCTGAAGTTTGATCAGTCTCAGTATTTGGATAGCATGATCGTATGAGATTATGCAGAGGCTAAGTAGGTTAGTGGAAGGCGTTTGGTGGTTTGGCATAGGTTCTTGTTTCGTAAGCCTTTAACGAACATGGATGTGTGAGAATGAGAGATAGCAGGGCACTTGTTGACAGTGGTTAGTTTATAGAAGAAGTTGATTCCTGATCAGGGGCAGATTTAGTGAATTTGGGGCCCCAGGCAAAATATAGGAATGGGGCCCTATACATTTGCACACATTTTCCTACATCAACCTTGAGGTTACATTTTGTTGTTTTCAGCGTACGCCTGTGTGCAAAGGCTGTCTAATTCTAAACTTTAAAATACATTTATTTTTAGTTGTTTTAACTACAAATTTAAATAAAACTGAAAAAACAATGAAAAGGCAATTATACATTTACACACCTAAAATACATATATCAAGAGCATGCTCACCATGATTGCATAATAACAGCAGCACACGATTTCCCTTGTTTATAATTTTAAATACCACTGCATTGTCCGAGTAGATGGGTATTGATTTTCTGGGCCATTCGTGCCCCCAAAGCATGGCTGCCATGATAATGGGGTATATTTCATAAATCTGGTGGAGAAAGCGCTTGACTGCGGACTGAGGGAACTGAACTCCGGAGGTCGTTCTGAGGAAAACCAGTACCCACCGTAATGGCCGTCAAAGTCTATTGAGGGTGCTGCATCAGTATATAGTTGGAAGTCATCGAGATGAGAGATGTGGTTGTTACAGAGATAGAAGATGCTGTTCTGGGATGGGAGGAATTGTTGCCAGAGGCGCATTTCTATTTGCATGCATCATCTAATATGACTCTGTTGTGGAGAGATGGGAAGGTTGCTGCTTTAGACAGAATGTTGGACAAGAAGGATTTCCCTTGAGGAATTATCCAGATGTTATTGTTGCGGTGGCCTAGAAGTGCAAGTAGCTGACGCTTGTACATCTATCTGTTAATAGAAGTTGGAAAAAAGAAGTGAGATTCGGTGGATTTTGTAGAGGGTGCTTCATGCATTCATGCTTGAAATTAATGAGACTGAAATGAGTCAAGGGTGATGCCTAAGGCCCTGTCCACACGAATGTGGTCATTTTTAAAACTGCAGCTCTTTTTATGCTGTTAGGCCGTTCGTCCACACGCAAACACAGCACCAGTTCACTGAAACCGAACATTTTTGAAAACACCTGCCAGGGAGAAGATTTTCAAAAACTCCGGTTGCAGTGTTATCGTGCAGAGTTTTTGGCTTGTGAAGTTGGAGCCTGCGCCATTTTTTTTAAAACGGAAGAAGGAAAAACTCCATTTATAAAAATACCCATGCACGTGTGGACATGGCCTAAAACTCGATGGTGGTATGAGGTCCTGAAGTTTTCTGCTTTGAAAATGGAACGCTGAGTTTGGTGAAAACCTTGATTAGTGTGGAAATCCTGATCACGGTGGTGCAATTGAGGTGTTATGTTTGGAAGTCATCCATAAGGTGAAGGACGTAAGGGAGTGTGTGGTTGTTGGTGAAATCCGGAATAGTGCTTCGGAGAGAAAGTCGAAATTCCTAGGTCTGCTTCTGCAGCTGAAAGTGAGGCGTACAGCGGAGTAATAGGGACCTTTCCAGAAGACTCCAAAGGATCGCTAGAAATCTGGATGGATAGACAAGACTTGAAGTCGTTGGTGGTATCAGCTTTGGCGAGCCGAGCTCCATGGCTTGCTAGATAAATGAGTTTGATGGCGCTTAGGAATAACTGAAGGAGGCAGAGCTGCAGTGAATAAGCGGTTGAAACTGTAGTTTTGCGTGAGAAGGATGGTTGAGGTTGAAGGAGGGCGATAATTGAGTGTGCTGAAGATAGATGGGAGGGGCTCTGCAAAGTTAGCGTGAAGGGATGTTTGAGCTGCGAATTATAGACAGTAGAGTTCAGAGTCGAGAGTGCCCCAGTATGTCTCCTGGTTGAACTGCTGTAGACAACCTGCAGCTAAGTTTTTGAGTATAGAACTGCTGAGATGAGAGGAGGGCGATAAGCTACTGAAGCTGGCCGAGTAGGTGGTGTAGCTGGCTAAGTGTATGGGCTGTAGATGTCAGGTTGAAAGGGTATTGATGGAGGTAGGTGAAAAAATCTAGACCAGTTGGAAATAGAATTGGAGGTTGAAAGAGTTCAGACTGCACTGCGTGAGGTAGGACTTCTGGACTGCAGAAGTAGCTATTGAGAATTATTAGGAAGCACGAGAGCCGTATTGCTGTAAAACGACTGAAGGAGGGGTGGAAGAATGTATGTTGGGATGAAAGGATGTTTTTTGAGTGGGGTTTTTGAGGAGTATTGAGGATGGGAGGGTATTGGTGGAGGGAGGGAGGGAGGGAAGGGAGAGAGGGAGGGAGGTGGAGAGAGAGAGGGTGGTA